AGCACTTCGATAGATGAGGGACGTATTGCTCGGGAAGTAAGCTTCAAAGAGCATCTAAAGTCTGTCTTCACTGCTTCACCCGGGGAAACGAGGTCTTTGCAAGAATGCGCCCGAACCCCGAGGATTTATGACAGCCCACCGCTTTTTCCGCAGAGCCTTTTTACTTACTTGTATATTGCAAGTCCCGTCGTCAGTTGATCCATTTCTAAAGGCCTCGCTGAATAAACGTCTGCAAGACGCTTTGATATCCGAGACTTCTCTAATCCACCAAAGAGGTTTCCCTCTACCCTACGGTATTTCCAGTGGACTGAAACTGTCCAGTGCAGTTTTACGTGCTGAGCTGAAGATTTGGATCCACACGTCCACCGGGTCGGTGACGACCAATCAGTTTATTCCCGGCGCGCATGTAGAGTTTGTCGGAACCTCTTGGGATACCATTCCTAATTTTTACTGCTGAGATTTCTAAAAGACTTTCTAGGCGGGCATTCCCMGACTAGACTGAGCACAATACACCCATGATCAAAAAATCAGTGATTATTAAGGACCCTTCAGTTTGTGAACTGTGGGGCAATTAGGCGGTAACGAATATATGAGAGTGTTCCCTATTACAGTCGCACGCCACTTTTTCGTCACTGTTAAACTCAAAACTATTAGAGACCCTTTGTTGCATTATGAAACTATGTATATATTTAACTAATTTATAAATCAAATCGCTCAATTTGTAGAAAAATTTTTTAAAAATGCCATATTGTATCTCAATTTATTTGTCTGAAATTCGTGAAAACTAATAGGATTTCGATTTCTGATCATAAAAATTGGGTAAAAGTAGTTCTTAGCTATCCATTTATTTTACTCAATGGGAAGCTCTCTAGTATATCATCCATCATCTTTTAAAATGTCGAAGAAAAATTAATTCGAAGTCTTCAATTTGTACCGATACTTAAACTTAAATTAACGCTAACCTCAAATTACTTGAAAATGCATATTTGTTAAATCATTTTCTTTAGCATAAATTAAAATTTTCTTCCTTTTACAGCTTTTGATCAATGTAAGGACACTTCACGCTATTGTCGCAATGTACGCTCGATGGGCTTATGCAGATTGCACCGTTACCAAGAGAAATGCTGCAAGTCCTGCCAATTCAATGCATACTACAATTAACAAAAACAACAAWTATTGGCAAAGCTAAGCAAAAGTGTAAAAGTAAAGGTTGCGGCGCGAAAGCAAAGRACACAATCAACAGCAGCTCTCCAGAAAAATAAACGAAAGAATATTCGAATGCGAATATTCAACGGATTACCAAACATTAATGTGAAATTGAGGTAGAGTGAAAGTAATAAATTAGTAGTAATAATAATAATAATAATAATAACGGTATTAAAGGAACGCCATACAAATTCATGAAGCGAAAATGTTAAATAAGCAGAGAGACATACAAACACATACTTTCATGCACATATACTTGCGCACCAAAAACCCAAGCATTGAAGCACATGATTGGAAAGCAAGCAAATTACCGCTCAATAATAAATTATTCATAAAATAAATATTTGAGTATATTGAGTGARTGCGACCAACTGTTTTGAATGAAGGCAAATAAATAATAATAAGCAAGGTAAATCCAAATAAAAACTAACTAACTATAGATTGCTTTACACAAGCCTGTTTACACACAAAAGTGGATACACACATACTAATGTATGTGCATATGCATATAAATGCCKGAAATGGCGGACGCAGACTAATGCAA